GAGAACTGAGCTTCAGTCATTTGCTCCCTGTGGCCTCAGCCAGCGACGTCCCCTCTTTGAGACTGTTTCCCATCCTGTTGAGTGAGGCCACAGCATCGCGCGGTTGAGAGTTAAAGGGGAGGGGGCCCATGTCGAGGGCACATCGGGGAGCCCAGCACAGGGCTCCTCCTGCCTCTGTTCTTGGGTCCAATGCTGCCCCCGCCTCTTGTCCCGATACCTTAATCTCTGGGGAGACTGGACTCCAGGACTGAGCCCTGGCATTTCAGCCCGGTGCTTGCAAGACACCCCCGCCCTGCCCCTGCCCCCGGACCAATGACGGCCCAGCCGGGAGCCCACCACGTGGAATGGGTGTGAGTGGGGGCTGCGGCAGGTGCTGTTGGCAGCTCACCCGCGGCATCATCTGCATCCTTCCCTGCCTGCCCCGAGCTTCCTGTGGCAGGCACCTGTGCTCCTCTGCCTGAGGCCTCCTCTACCTTCTCAGGCCAGACAGGCCGGAAGTGCTGGGGCAGTAATGACTCCAGGAAGACCCCTCAACATGCAAGATGGGAGCTGGCATGTAAGGGCCACGACTCCTCCGCCCCTTTAGTGAAACAGCTTCGAGCTGTGTTCCATACAGCTTCCCAGAGGTCCCCAGTGGGACGGTGCCCAGAGCAGCAACCAGCTCATTAACTCCACCACTACGACCAGCTTTTCCCTCCCAGGCTCGCTTTCTCACTCCCCTCCCAGGCTCGCTTCCTCACTCCCCTGCAGCTCTTGCAAGGATCACCGTCCAAACACAGTACTTGCGCTTGGATCTTCGCGTCAGGGTCGGGGGCAACCCCACCTGAGATGGGCTGATTCCGTTCTGTGTTCTGTGCTCAAAGCCAAGGGCTCTGCGCAGACATGAGGGCCATATCCTAGATTCTGGACGCTCAGGCACACGATGTCCTCACACGTCCTTTGACAGGGACCATTTATTACTGGGCTGCGTACTCAGACTGGGGGGAGACCATTGACGTAGCTGAGCACCAGGTAAGGTGTCCTGGCCAGTCGGGAGTGAGAGCAGCAGAGGACCCCGGACATGGGCAGGAGCAATGTGGCACCCACCAGGAGGAGAAGGAGAAAGAGGAGGAGAAGGAGGAAGGCCAGGGGCCACCTGGATGCAGGATCGGGAGCCCTGCCAAGGGAAACGCAGTGTTAACTACGTGGGTGGGCTGCCGCCACGAGCCCTGTCCACCATACCCCCGACCCGTCTTCTGGGCACCTCACCCGGCATCCACCTCCAGTGTCACATCCTGGAGACTGGAAGATGCTTGCCTCTTCTTGTCCTAAGGGTAGACAGCAGCCACAGCAGAATGGATGGAAGTGACACTTAGTATGAACTTTCTCTTACTACCATAGACCTACCGGGCTGGTCTCATTTCTTCCCCTTTCCTGGCAGCCCCGCTATCCCCCGGACCCCAGTGGACGGGGAATATCTCCAGTGTGGTGGATGTCTGTTCGTGCCCGTCCTCCAATCCAATCAGTCCCCCCTTTCCTCATAACAGTGGCTCAATTTGGGGTGGCGGAGTCATGCTTTCTACTCATTAAGTAGAGACAGCTTTGGGTTCATGTGCAGCTGACCCCCGCCTCCTCCACGTCCACGACTGGGCACATGACCCAGACCTGGCCAACCCAAGCACTCGGATTCCTTCAGGGTGCAGCCCACGGCCTGAGCCAGGCAAGTGGGACTTGGGACTTTGGCTGCCGCTGGTAGGTCAGAGGCACTCTCCTCCCCCGGGTGGGTAAACCAATGGCAAGTGAGGGTGTAGTGGCCGGGGCAGCCATTCTGCTGAGAAGTAGAAGCGACAAGAGGGAGGGACTGAGCCCTGATGGGGACCTCATTTGAGGTCCGAAATTCGGCAGTGCCTGGACTTTTCAGTTACGTGACAAAAATAGCATCCCCTTTTCTATGTCGTTCAATTGGTTGGGTTTCTGTCACTTGCCATCAAGATCCCTGAGTGCTACACCCGGCTGAGGACCAGCTCACCTGAGGCTTCCGGAGCAGGGAGCGTCTGCGGTAACCTGCGAAGTGTTTCCGGTGGCTGAGGCCGGACACGAGCACATCCTGTGGGGAGAGACAGGCACGTGGCTCTTGGAGAACCAGCAACAAAGAGACATGGCTGGGCAAGGACTAGGATGGGGGTGCGCATGAGGCGAGATTCCGGGGGCACAGAGAGATCTCACGGGACAGACAGAGGGCCAGAGCCAAAGAAACCAAGAGAGGAGACATTATTCATTCATTCATTCAACAAATATTTAATGAGTGTCTATTACATGCCAGGCACTGTTCTAGAAGCTGGGGACTCAGTGGAGATGGAAACAGGCAAGATCCTGACCCCCATGGAGCTTCTATTTTAGTGGGAGGGAGAGACCATAAATCAATAAACACACGTATGAAGTCGAACTGCGCTAAGTGCTGTTAGGAACTAAAGATCAGGGTCGCTAATGTTTGGAGAGATGGCGTTGGAGGAGCGGCTGGAAGGAAGGGAGGCGGTAAGCCGGGCACGCTTCTGGGGGTTTCCAGGTGGGAGCGAGTTTGGGGTGTTCGCACAAGAGCCAGGAGGCCAGCACAGCTGCAGCAAGGAAAGCAAGGGGCAGAGGGAGAGAAAATGGGCCTGAGATGTAGACAGAGACAGACAGGAGAGAGGGAAACGGTGAGAGAGACACAGAGATGAAGAGAGACAGAGATAGAGAGACAGAGCCACCGACACCTCGAAAGGGAAAGACCCGGCTGGAAGGCACACGGAGGTGCCCTCTGGTTGCCTGGGGGAGGAGGGTCCCTCAAGAGGGACCGCTCTCACCTCGAGGCCTCGTCCTCTGCCCTGGGGGACCCTGTGGCCACACAGCTCACAGGGGGCCCCTGGTGTCCAGGCTGTCTTTTGCCCCAAGGGTCCGAGGCCCCCAACGTCCCCTGCAGGGTCCCACTCCAACTCTGCGGAAGCGGGGAGGCTGCTGGGCGCCCAGGGCCCCCAGACCCCACCAGGTCCTGGCCCGTCCAGGTCCCCCTCGACCTCCAAGTCCTGGTCCAGCGTGTTGGCCTCCTTGTTGAACACCTGGGTCAGAGGATAGAGGTCATGGGAGTCGGGAGATTGGGTTCAGGACCGGGGGCCATCAGGGCGGGCCATACCAGGCTGTAGCTGACCAGCTGGGCCTGCAGCTGCCAGAGCCGTCGGAAGATGGTGTCTCTGTGGGCTCCGAGGGCCCTTAGGATCTGCTCCAGGGATGCCCAGGCCCTAGGCCCACTCCGCTGTGCCAGCCCCTCGCCGAACGCCAGCAGTGCGTCCACACGCTCGGCCGCCCCTCGGAGGTCTGCCTGCAGGGCCTGGCGACATGTGGTTGGACATCACCCCCCCACACACACCAGGGACACCAGAGACTCAGACCTGGAGTGAGCCCTGTCCCCACTTCCTATTCAGAGACCTAGAACATGCAATAAACCCATTTCCCACCCCAAAAAGCTGGCACCCACCCTCCCCCATCCTGGCCCCCCACGGCCCACCTGCAACTCGACCATTCCTCTCTGCGCCAATGCCCAGGGCCCCCGGCCTCGCTCCAGGTCCTGCAGCCGGAGCCCCATCCCCACTAGGCAAAGGTGCAGGCTGTCCTGCTCCGCCTCCAGTACGTCCAGGCCAGAGATGGGGTGCTGGGGAACACAGGGGTCTGCATCAGGACCAGTGAGCCAATCAAGCACTACGCTCACCCCAGTACCACCCCTCTTCTGCAGGCTCCTGCCTTCTGGATGCTTCCCTGCAACACAATCCACGTCTGGGTCTACACCAGGGCTGCTCCCACTTAGGGGCCTTCCCAGTGGAGCCAGGCCTGGGAACATCTAATCCAAGGTCTTCGGGTTTTCAAAGCTCCTGGGAACCTGGACACGTGTGGCTTGGAGGTCTGGACAGGGAGGAAGTCACAGAGCTGGGTACCTCCGAGGGCTGCACCAGGACCGACAATGAAATACTTCCCTCCCAGTCGGTAAAATAACGAAATACTTCTATACTGAATGGTAAAGAAACACTTTCCTGAGAGTCCCTCCCCTCACAGATGCCCAACACCTTTCCAGAATCATCCCCTCACCTGCAGTGCAGAGGAGGCCAGATCCTGGGGGACAGAGAGGAGGTGGGAGCCGGCACAAGGGGTCTGGGTCACCTCAGCTCACCTCACAGTGTTTGCCTCCAGCTGGGTCCTCACGGGAAGAGGGCGTTGACAATCTTGGGGGGCCAGCAACGGGCTCAATGCCCCTTAGCCCACCTTGGAAGTGCTCAGGAGGGTCCAGGGAGTCTTGTCCCTGTTCCTGGGCCTGCCCCTGCCTGGGAGGTAGGGGACAGTGGGCACATGAGCCTCAGTACCTCATTTTCCACCCAACCCTTGCTCCATCCCCGGCTCCCTCTCCTGTCCCCGGGTGATTATAGTCACAGCACCCCCTACCCTCAAATGGCCCTTGCTACTGCCCCCATCCTCTTGGGAACAAGCTTCAAAAGCCCCAGCCCCCACCTGACTCTGTCCTTCTCAGATGCAGGGCAGATGGTGCATCCAGCAACGTCTGGCTCCCTGGGGACTCCAGGGCGGTGGTTGAGCAGCTCTGAGGGGAGCCTAGGGCCCAGAGTTGGGGACAGGGCCATAGCTGGGGGTCTGGGCACAGAGAGTCAGGTGAGGACCTTTTCCCTAGCCAAGGGTGTCCCCCAGACCTTCTCAGCTGGACTCTCGCAGGCCTGAGACTGCCGGAGGGGCCCAGGGGCAGGCCTGGCTCCACCCCTTCCGAGGGAACCTGGGCCCAGGTAATTTGATGCCCAGCTCAGGTGACAACAGCGACTTAACTCCTTCCTCCCCAACAGGATCAGTAGCTAAACCTCCCAGCATCACTCAGGACCCACACATCCAACCGCCAGGGCCTACCCACCCACTTAAGGTCCCAGACGCGGTGCCCCTTAGGGACCCAAGCATCTCCCCCCACCGCCGGAAAAAAAACACTAAAACCAAGGAAAGATATGTTTGGTTTATTGGGAATGGGTTTTTTTCCTGTGGTTCCAGCAAAGTTGTTGGGAAAATAAATAACCCAGGGGAGCCGCCTCCGCTCCAGGGTTCCAAGGTCACAGAATCACTGACAGCCCCAGGGTGGGCAGGAAGCCGGGATCCGAACTGTCCCCAGCCTGGCGATCACTTGCTGAGCAAGAGGCCGGCGCGCAGCACGCGGGGCACGCGGCGGATGGTCAGCGAGACGCGGGTGTCGCGGACCAGGCGGGCCCCGGGCCGCGCCGACGGGCAGGCGGCCGCATTGGGCGGCAGGGAGGCGGCGTCGAGCTCGTCTGCCCGGGCGGCGGCGATGCCGTGGAGGAGGCGCGTGTAGGCGGTGCCACGCAGCACCAGCAGGCTGCGCGGTTCCAGCAGCAGCGAGGCGACGGGCCGGGGCGGGGGCCGGGGCTGCGGGGCGGGCTGACGGTCAGCGGGTCTCCAAAAGTCGGGGGGGTCAGCAGGCTTCGGGGGTCAGGGGGCAAGGGTCAGCGAGTCCCCAGGGACAAAGGCTCAGGAGCAAGCGTGCTCCCAGGGATGGAAGCTTTGGTGGTTCAGGAGTGAAAATTGGCGGATCCTGGGGCTGCTGGGGAAGGCAGGGGGTGGGACACAGTCCCTCGTGGAGGGGGAAGGAACTAGGTTGCAGATGGGGGCGTCAAAGGGTCAGCAGGCCGTGATGGCTGCAGCTGGGATCTCCTAATAGCTGGAGCTGGGACTGTCTCCCTAGGAAACACAGGCACAGCTGGGCTGAGAGGGCATGGCTGAAGCCAGGACCCCGCGGGACAGTGAGGCAGAGGTTCCAGGGAGTGGGCATACCCAAGGACATCCGGATGTTAGAGGACACTGGCACAGAAGGGGGGGGTGTCAGCATACCCAGGAGCACGTGGGGCTAAAGGGGAAGCCCCAGGGAGGAGCAGGTCAGGGGAATCATGTCCAGGGAAGTTTCTGTGAACACTTAAGTGTCAGAAATGCATCACTCAGAGACAGAGATCAGCGATGGTGTCGTCAGGGTATCTGGGGGGACCCTGAGCAGCAAATCATGTGTCAGGGGTCCAAGGAGAATCTGGGTGTCCTGCACCGCAGATCACATTACTGGAGTGGCAGGATGTCAGTGCTGCAGTACCCTGTGCAGGGGACAGGGCCGGGACATCTGGGAGGATGTCGGGGCGCCCATGAGTGCATGACAGGGGGGTATCTAAGGACGTCAGAGTGTCTGCTGGAGTACTGGGGAGCCCTGCATGGGCTATCTGTGGACCTTGAGCAGCTGGAGCACTCTGAGCACGTGTGGTCAGGAGGTCTAGGGGGTGCATCTGGGGGCATCTATTCAGCAGGTTGGGGCACTGGGGTGTCTGTGGAAATTATGGTATGTAGGGTACCCTGACAGCAGATGGACCTGGTGTCTGGGAGGAGGCAGTTGTACCCCATGAAGGGACAGAGGAAGGTGTCTGGGTGTCAGGAGAACCTCAAAGGCAGGTGGGATCAGGTGATCTTGGAGGATGCGGGATGTCGGAGTGGCCACAAGCGGCTGGGGTAGCGTCTCAGGCCCACCTGTTCCACAGGGTCATCATCCTCTGGCTGCCGCGGCTCGTAGAGGTCCAGCATGGCGTGGGAGCCCAGGCTGATGGTGCTGACAGTCGGGTAGTACAGTGGTCCATCCTCATGGGGCTGGGGAGTGGGCACCAGGGCTGGGCAGGGCAGGGGTCCACACCCCCCACCCTTTAGGTTAAAAGGGGGCTCCCAAGCTGGGGACAGGGAGGTGAATGCCTGCTTGGGATAGGTGGCTACTTGATGAGTGTGAGGCTGGGCAAGCATGATGCCCAGCCCCGTGATGGCTCAGAGGTCTGGGGGGAGGCAGTTACTGTGGGGGTCAGGGTGAGGATATGTGGTTACCATGATGCCCTCCCCTGGCAGATACTGGTTCACGAGGACATGGTTAGCCGGGAGACCCCCAAAAAGTCTGAGGTCAGACACTTTGTCCACGTAGCGCTGGAGCCATGGGGGCAGCCGCTCAGGAACCATCCCCCGAGGATGGGGGAGCCCACCTGGGGAGGGCAACAGGGTCCTGAGGGCTTCCCCATGGGACCTGGAGCCCCCATTAAGGATATCCCAGTGATTGGAAGCACCCTGACCCCCTCAGGGACCACTGGACCCTTCAAAGGCTTCCTAACTTCTCCAGACCACTGGACCCTTTCAGATACTCACAACCCATCGGGAAATCCCTAACCCTCAGGACCTCCACTGACCCCTCAAAATCATGTCCCCTGAGACCCCTTGAGCCCTCAGGGATTCCCTCCCCACCAATGTCTTAAGACTATTGGATCTGAGCCCCCTGCTCCAGCCCACATCCCAGAATCGCCCGTGCCCCCAGCCAGGGACACTTACCCCAGTTCTGTAACTTCCTCCCGGAGAGCTGGGTCCACTTTGGCTTTGGGGCATTAAAAACCTAGCAGGTGGAGAAGGGGTCACCCCTTTTTCAGGACCACTCCTCCATTGTTCTCCCACCCAGGCCAACAGAGGCCTTTACCTGGGGTGGAAATGGGTCATCTCATTGTCTGTGGGATCATTCTCTGGGGTAGTGTGTTCCCGGGATTTTGTTTTTTGCCTTCTTTCCTGGGGAGGCTTTTGGCCCCAAAGCCCACCTGTGTCTGCTGGGATTGAGGAAAGGAACCAGGACTACACAATACTGGTCTGAATCTACTCAGTTCTGGGGCTGGACTGGGCTCTTTCAGCCCAGCAGCAAATACTCTATACTCTAATTTCCTGATTCCTGGGCTATCTGAAGACAGTCTGAGTTTTAGAAGCTCTTTGTTTCTAATGCCTGGCAGATGGAGTGTGCTGTACTGGGCTATCTCAGTACAGCAAAGAAAGTACTTTGAAAACCCTCCATTCCCAAGATCCCAATAGTCTAGAATGGACTGCCTCAATCCAAGAAATCTATACTGTACTCCATAATCGCTTCATTCCTTTCATGGTTGTAGAGCTGGACTAGGCTATTTCAGCCCAGGGATTCTATAATATGTAAATTTTTCAATCCCCAGAACTCTAAGGTCTGGAATGGGCTATCTCAGCACGAGAGTCTGTGTTCTGAAGCTAACTCCTTCCTGGGATTCAAGCTTGAGTAGGCTACTACTCCAGCACAGGGAAGATCTGTGCTCTGTAACTAAAGCTCTGGGGCTGCAAAGGGCCATCCCAGTGCAGGGTCTCTGAGCTTTGTAAATTATCTTTCTCCAATCCTTAAGAACAGAATACAAATTGGGTCATTTCAGCATAGGTGGTCTGTGCTTGGTAATCTTGTTCCAAAAACGCTGGGTCTATGCTGATCTATCTTGACTTTACTCTCTAACATTCTGATTCCTAGGCTAGCTCAAGGATCTGAACTGGGCTGTATCAGCCTATGTTTATAACCTCCTTTCCTCTAAGCTAGCAGGATCGGGCTATCTCATTACAGGGAGTATGAGCTCTGTAACTTCCTTGCTCTTGAGACTCTGGGGTTGCACTGGGCTACTCCCAAACAAGGAATCTGATCTCAGTAACATCCTAGTTTTGAAGGCTGGACTGGGCTATCTCAGTACAGGAAGTCTGAGCTTCATAATAACCACCTCCTTTCTAAGAATCAGTTTGGTTTCCCCTAAGCCTCCTAGAAAAATCTTTTTCTGATATGCCCTTGCAGGTCCTGAGAGAGGAAAGGGGAAGGTGGGAGATGGGTGCTGTGTGGCACTCTCCTTTCTGCCAAGGTCTTCACTGCAGCCTTGGGGGCTCTCATACAGGGGGCAGGGGTTGGGGAGGGATATGGGAAGAGGGAGAAAACAGATCAGAAGGGAACTGGGGTCACCTGTCGAAGCAAATACTCCTCCTCTTCCTTGGAAATGAAATCAGGGACATAGTAGATTACAGGTGGTGCCTAGGATAGAGAGAACCCCCCCCTGAAGGTGTGGCCCTTCCATCCATACAGGGGCCATATCATTGCTGAGCCAACTCTCCCTCTGGCGAGAGGCTCAGGATGTCAGGCCAGGATCTGAAGTCAAGGAACCAATGCCCATTCTGGGGTAGGGTTGGGGGTAAGGCTGGACTCTGAAGGTAAGAATCCCAACCCATGAACCCAGAGTCAGCCTGCCTATCCCACCCCACCTCTCACCCACTAGTCCCCACCTTCACCCTCTGCACCCCCATTCCTGACAACCTGCTCCACCCTGAATGGTTCCAGGGTTGGGACCCTGGCGTCCTGCTCCTCCATCGACACCAACTCCTTGCACACAGTCCTGTGGGGAGGGAGGACGCACTGAAGTCACTAAGCCTCCCACCCGCAGGCCATGATGCAGCCTTCCACCCCATCACCCGCCAGGGCCTCACCTCAGCGGTGAAACTCACTTGGCCTCTAAAACCTGAGTCCTCAGCATCTCAAAAGCTACACAGCGAGCCCCTAGTCTCCCTGCCCGAACACAATGAGTACCCAGAATAGTCCTCCAAAACTCCACCAAGGGCCCATCAAACTACACATTTGTCCTCTCAATCCTCTCACAGAGAACATTCTCTGACCCCACCCCGAACCTTTCTCAAAAGGTCCACACGTAAACCGCAGGGCTGCGCCCCAGAGCCCCTTTAAACACCTTAATTTGAGACCCCACTTCAGACCCACAACCAGGATCCCGGCTCTCTAACAACTGGGGGCCCCCGTGGGCCCTCCTCCGGCCCTTTCAGATCTCTCATTCTGAGCACCCTTGTGCCCCGAGTCTGAGCCTCCTCAGACATGTCCACTCTCAGCCTCCTTGGATCCCCGACTCCGGACCTCAGATTTCCTTTCCCGAGTGTCCCTTTGCTCCAGCACCCTGAAGCCTTTAGCCCTGGGCCTGACTCCTCTCAAACCCTCTTCTCTCTCTGAACCCCTCAGTCCCCCTTTTAGGATCACTCCCTGAGCCTCCTCGGACCCCTACTCTGAGCTTTCTCGGATCCCCACTCCCAGCCCTTTTGGACATCCATCTCTGCCCCGAGCACCCCCAAAACTGACCGTACACCAGTGTCCCCTCCAATTTCTATATTCACCACCCCCATTCCCCTCCCAGCCACTTCCGGCCCACATTATTGACGCAGAGTGCTCAGGCCAATGGGAAACCTCAGCGGCCTTAAGGTCCCGCCTTCCACCCAATCGGCGCTCTGGCTCAGTATTCGTCCGCCCCTTCAACCCTCGCGTAGGAATATGCGCGGCCCAGCCTCTGAGCCACGGCGGGGTGGAATCTTCGTCTGGCACCTGCCAATCAGCTCCAGAAGCAAACCCGTCTAACTGCGGAGTGGGCCCAGATGTGAGGGGCAGTCGTAGCGGCCACGGGAAGGCCGCGAGAGGGCGTGTTGGGGGGACTTCCTGCAGGGCCATTCTACGCCCATGCCTCAGGACGGCGAGACTGAAGGAAGAACTTCCTCTCCCACCATCCCCCAGCAAGGGTACAGGGTACAAGAGACAGGACCGAACCTCCCAATGACCTGACACAGAGAGGCCATAGAAACATCTTTATTGAAGAGGACAGGAGTCATGCTGTTTGGGGACATGCAGTGAAGGGGCAGTCGTGAGCTGTCCTTGGTGGTCAGGGCCCCAGGTCTACCCTAGACCCCCTGGGCCTTCAGGTTCTCCCTTGGGCTGTTGGTCTGGCCGAGGCGCTGTGAGGTCCTTTGGGGCCAGTGACCAGAACATAGATTGAAATGGGGGCTCCAAGATTTGGGATCCCCTCAGGGCCTTGGGGACTTCCATGTATTAGACATGGAGGCTTTAAGAGTTGGGGTTCCCTTGGGGCTGGGGCTCTTGGAATTTGGATGTCGAGATCCATGGACTCAGGGCATTGAAGTCCTCCAGTTTCCAAGGATGGGAATTCCTGTTTGGGTGTCCCGGTGCCTGTGAACAGGGCTTGAGGTGCCCTGGGAGCCTGGGATGCACATCCTGACTGCAGTCTCCTCCATCCCAGGCGCAAGGACCTGATGATTGGGTTTCCTGGGGGCTTGGGATTGGATTTGTAAATTTGGGATTCCCTGGGGATTTGAGGATTCCAAGATTTGGGGGTGCTTGGAGTGAGGGCCTTGAGGTCTTCTAGGGGCTGTAGGACTTGAGGACACAGGGGAATTTGGGATACATGTACTCTGGGGTTTAGGATCCCCAGAGTCCCAGAATGGGGCCTCTAAATTTTGGGGTCCCCCAAAGGGGGAAGTCATTACTTAAAAAATAGAGAATTTTCTGGGAGCCTGGCCAGCACAGGGGCTGTGGGCCATGTGGGGTGGGCTTCATACAAGGCACTGGGGGTTTCTTGAGGGTGCAGAGGATAGGAAGACTTGGGGGTCCTGTAATTAGCACTTCCAGGACTGTTTTGGTGTCTGTAAATTAGGGGTGACAGTGGGCTGGCTAAGGTGGTTCTCTTCTTGAGGGGCAAGAACAAAGGTCTTTGTTAATGGAGGAAGTATCCGATTGGGAGGTTGGAGTGTAAGGGCTTCGGGGTGACCATGGGGTCATGACATCTCAAGGGGACTGATGTTAAACAAGGGATAGTGACATGAAGGTCTGTTGCTCTGGAGGTGTGACCTATGTTTATTTCAAGAAGACTTGGGGGAGATCTTTGTTAATGGGGGGTTTCTGATCCAGTGATGAGTGACTCAAGAATGTTCTGTTGTGGAGCATTATACGGAAAGGGTCACCATCATTTGGGGTGATGTCGAAATCTGTTAATTGGGGGTGTCTGCTCTGAGGGGTTGGGGATAGGGACTAGCCTGAAGGTGCTACTCAGGGAATCTTTTTCTGGGTGACATGGGGTCTGTATCTGGAGGGTTATTATGGGGGAATCTGTTAATAATGGGGCCTCGGTGATGGAGGGCTGGCTAACAGGGGGTCTCTACTCTGAATGTGTTACTGGGAATCTCTATCTCAGGGTGACTTGGGGGCTCCTGTGTCAGGAGATGCTAGTAGGGACTCTGTCTCTTTGTCGGGTATCCAGGGCCTCTAGGACTGCATCTCTGCCCTCAGCATCCAGGGAAACCAGCAGCAGAAGAGCAACCTGAAACAGAGAACTGGGTCACACTCTGATGCGGGCTGCAGCAACACCTGGGTCCCTCGCCACCAGCTCTTCCCCCAGTGTTTACGATTTGACCTTTCTGGATTCTGTCTCTTAACTCCCTGGCTGTGTCTTTTTAGGCTCACATGCAGTAGAGGGTGTTCTGCTTCCTTTACCTGCCCCCTAAAAGTTAAAGTCACCAGAATTCAGTGTGGGCCCTACACCCTAAAGGCTGTGTCTGGGTGTGCTTACTAGTTACAAGTTTTCCTAATCTCTGTTTCCAGCCCCTCCCAGAGCTCCCGTCCAACTGCCTAGTGGATGCCTCTCCCTGAACATCCCATAGGAGAGGGGACAGGGGTTGGCCACACACCTGGAGATAGAGTTCTCTGATGCAATGTCCTTTGGGGTCCGGACTGTTGTGAAGGTGCGTTTGGGCTGCGTCACTGAAGAGGAAAACAGGGTCTCAGGTGAGGGGTTGACAGACCTACCTGTGTCCTCAACACCCATCCAGACTCCTTGTCATTCATACCTATTCATGTCCCCAATACTTCCCTGGATCCCACATTCCCAATACCCATCTGGACTTCTTGTCAAAAATACCCGCCATGTCTCCCAATAACTACCCCTGTCCCCAATATCTGCTCAACCCCCTTATCCCCAAAAAGCCTTGTCATTAACTTTGCCTTTGAGACCTCTCATCTTTGGGATCCTGTCTCATCCTTTTCTTGGACGCTGTGTCCTCAGTTAAATACCAGAGACTCTGTCATCAGCATATGCCTGAGAATCCACGACCCATCCTCCATCCCCAGACCCCACCCCCTACCCTCCAACTCACTTGTCACTTGATGTACTTTTTTGGCTCCAACACTGTCCCCAGGGGGGTCAGTGGATCCGCCAATCCTGGGGAGACACAGGGAGTGGGAAAAGTCAGAGCCACAAGAGGCCCGAGTCTGAGTAGGAGTTGAGCCCCGGGGGCCTATGAGGAAAGAGCTGGGTGCATGGGGAGTATCCACATTGTCTTGCTGTTCCACAAGGAGGAGACCATCTGAGGGGAGATCGGGGCTTGGGGTGGTGCCCTGGGTTGGGGGGTCAAAATTCAGGCTCACCTCTGAATGCGGGATGCTGGCGCAAAGACCCCATGCCGAGGAGGACAGGTGAAGTACCGGACGCCGAAGACGGAGCCATCATGCTTGCCCGTGGGCTGGTCCAGCTCAATGCCATACCAGTAACCTGCAGCAGACGAGTGTCAGGATGCCTCAAGGCCCTGCCTGCCCCCAGCCCAGGGTCCCCATCCTCACCTGGGGCAAAGTCTGTCTTCCCATAGAAGCGCACAATCCCCTGCTTCTGGCCTGCAACGAGGACTTGGTCTCCCACCTCCGCTTTGGCCCTGTCGCGCTGCTGCAGGCTGCCCAGAGATGGGGATGACGGGGACTTCTTCTTGCCTAAGGGTAGAGGGTACAGGGGCTGTGGGTGGGGGTGGAGCCCCAGATGCCAGCTTTGGGGACCCCATGCCACTTGGAAAGCCCCAAGGTAGAAACCCTTTCCTGGCTCCAATCAGAGGAACTCCAGAGGCTTCCCCAGAATTGTGGGGTGTGGTGAGGGTTTGGCTGGAGGGGAAACTGAATCCCAGATGCCAGAGAACTAGGAGGGGGGCTTTAGGCCTGAGGAGAAACTGAGTCACAGAACCTGAAGAACCCCAAAATCTTTTCTCAAAGCTGAGAGGGTATGTGGGCCAAAGGAAAAAGTGAGTCAGAAGTCAGGGACCCAGAAACTGTGCTTTTAAAATGAAGGAGGAATTGGGTCTGAGAATAAATCAAGTCACAAAATCCAGGAACCCCCAGATTCCTCCCTAAAACTGGGGAAAACCTTTGGGCCTGAGGGGAAACTAAGTTACAGAAGGCAGGGAACCCACAGGTCTTTCTAAGAACTAAGTGGGGCCAGTACTGAGCCAAAGGAGAAACTGAGTCACAGGAGTCAGAAACTCAGAGCTTGTCCTCTAAAATTGGAGTTTGGGCCTGAGCAGAAACCAAATCACAGAAGCTGAGCTACCCACAAACTGGTGCGTCCCACCCCTAGGGCTCCCTTCTCTGACCTTTGTGTTCCCTACGGCCTTTGCCAGTGACACGGGAGAAGTCCATCCGGGGAGTCCGGGGTGTGGAGGTGACAGAGGAGGGGGGTGCATCCACTGCCTTGGAGATCTTGGACACGGAGGCAAAGAGACCTGGGGGGACAGAACCTGGGCTTGATGTCGTCCAAGCCTCTGCCTTCAGCCCCGCCCTCATCCCCCAGCCACTGTTACCCAGGCAGCAGCATCAGAACTACTGAGTGGGCCCCACCCGCACCCTCTTGGGCCCCAAGGTGGGACTGACCCTGCTTGGGAGGGCAGATGAAGTACCGGACTCCCCCAACACTGCCATCGTTCTTGCCCTCGGGTTCGTCCAGCTCCACGCCCACCCACTGGCCGCTGGCGAACTCCGTGGTCCCGCAGAACCGCAGTGTGCCCGTCTGGGGAGACAAGGGAGGACATGGCTTCGGGAGGGGACTTGGGAGGCCATGGTGGACCCCCGGCACACAAGCAGCATGATGGGGTGGCTGGGGGAAACCTGGGCGTAAATCTCAGATCAGACATCATCATTTACTGGCTAGATGACTTAACCTCTCTGTGCCTCAATTTCCTTATCTTTGAAATGGGAACAGAAATCATACTCACCATATAGGATTGTTTTAGAGCTGCCTTGTCCAGTACAGTAAATAGTGACCAGCCACAGATGACAATTTAAATTTAAACTAAATTAAACATTCATTTCCCCAGTCACACCAGCCAAATTTCAAGTGCTCAATAGTCACATCTAGCTTGTGGCTACTTTACTGGACAGCAGACACGGAACATTTCTACCACCACACGAAGGTCTTTTGGGCAGCGCTGTCGTGGAGAAATTCAAGCCCTCAGAACAGGGCCTGCTACTAAGGAAGGGATCAGCAAGTGTTGGCCATTATCAGGCTGTGACTTTGGTCAGGGGACTTCCTGGGCCTCAGTT